TAAAACATATGGTTTCTTTAGTTAGTTAGATCAAAACCTCTAATTTCATAAAATATGTGTATGTTCTAATACTAATAATGCGATCATTAACATCGACGAAAATAATGGTAATGATAGCATTATTAGTATTCCCGTCATTTTCATATTTGTCAAAAAATGTATTATTTTTCGACAATGTTTCTTTTTTTGGCCGACAACTTGAAATTTGTTTGTGGACCTATGTAACCTTAAACAACAACTTATTCAAATGTTAAATTAAAATCAAGTTGTTAAAAAATGTGAGGATATAACATATCCGATTACAACATTTCACGATTTAGAGTTAAGATATAAAACAGGCATTTACAATTAAAAGAAGGTATACGGCATAAACATTGGCAAAACTTATATAGAACTAGCAGACCCGGCAAACATTGTTTTGCCGTATCAAAATTGAATCAATTTAGGTTTTTCCATCAAACATTTTTCAGGAGATGCTCAAGTTTTGATGTAACTACTCTCATCTCAAAAGATAATTTAGTATAGATGGCGTAATTACTATTCCTATTTTGATAAAATACGATTCATAAGTCCTTTGAATCATTAAAATTGGTACAGACGTTCTCGAGTTACGGTGAATGGCGATCGCTATCGTTCGATGTTAACAAACTTTTTGTTGCCAAAAATGGAAGAACTGAACTTGGTTGACATGTGGTTTCAACAAGATGGCGCTACATGCCACACAGCTCGCGATTCTATGGCCATTTTGAGGGAAAACTTCGGAGAACAATTCATCACAAGAAATGGACCGGTAAGTTGGCCACCAAGATCATGCGATTTGACGCCTTTAGACTATTTTTTGTGGGGCTACGTCAAGTCTAAAGTCTACAACATTTCCGAAGAAATTCGGGCTATTCCGGCCGAAATGCTCGAAAAAGTTGCCCAAAATTGGACTTTCCGAATGGACCACCTAAGACGCAGCCGCGGTCAACATTTAAATGAAATTATCTTCAAAAAGTAAATTTCATGGACCAATCTAACGTTTTAAATAAAGAACCCATGAGATTTTGTAAATTTTATGCGTTTTTTTAAAAGAAAACTTAGCAAGCTCTTAACAAATCACTCTTTAAAAGGTGTAAGTAACACAAAATTCGATTATGATTTTTATGTTTTTCTTAAAATTTTCTTTGGCAAAACTCTTCCCACAGCAATTAAAAACAACCGTAGGAAAATGTGAGTCAAATTGGTGCAGTCGTTTGAGGAACACATATAAGATAGAAACCTAGAGCATCTAATGCGCAATTGTCTCCATGTAGGATTCGAATTTAGATATATATACATCCCAAATCTCTCTATATAAAAATTACGTGTATCGTTGGTCAAAGTAGCAGTAGTTCTTGAGTTACGGAGCCAAAAATAAAACACAAAAACTAAATATTGCTCCATCTGTCAGATGAACATCAAACTACACAGAAACACTCCTCATGCGTCATAGAGGCTGTATATACAATTTGGTAAAAATCAGTGCAGTAGTTTTTGAGTTTAGCGATCACGAACATACACGTAATTTTTATATACATAGATATAGAGATAGAGATGTACCGATTTTATATAAATTGTGGACTAATTCCATTGACACACAATTTGTACAATACACTGAAATTAATATAAATAAATCTCGGGCAATTTTCGCTGAAACCTGTTCAGATTTGATATAGCTCCCACATACATATTTGCGTCCGATTTTATGTAAATGGTCCACCAACACCGAATGTTTGTTCGATTGACACGAAATTTTGCACAACGTATCAAAATTAGAATTGGTTCTGATGCAGACATAGCTTTCATATATATATATATATATATATATATATATATATATCGAATGGGTATCTGATTAAAATTAAATATTGAGCAGTGCGACATACCGGATAACGTGTGTTTTAAATCGATTTACATACATTCGTTCCATTGAACGCAAACAACTCAAAATCTGCCCGAATGAAATAAATTTAGAATAGTTTGGAGAATATCATGTGTATGGATTGATGTTAGTCCGTTCCATTATAGATAAAGATAACATCTTTAAATTCGTTCAATTTCATTTCAATGCTCCTACGGACATTGACATACTTTCTTTACTGGTTTTATTCTGAATTGTATATATACAGTCGAGTATGGTTATAGCGAACTCGTATGGACCAACCAAATTAGTTCATTGTAGAAGAAGCTCGTTATATCCAAGGTAAAGCAAAATATAGGCTTAGTACAAAAAATATATTTTCATTTAGATATTGGTAGCTTTTGTGTCCTCTTTAACAATTCTTAAGATACTTCTCCTTTTCTTCAATGAATTTCACATTACAGCTGACATTTTTTTGCAAAGCTTGCCAGCGTTATAGTAAAAATTAACGTTTGTGATAATTGACATCGTCAGTATTACGTATATTTTTAGTAAGTACTTTATAACCAAATTAAAATATATGAAAATTGAATGTGTATGTCTTAAAACTTCGGGACCCGGAAATGTGTTCGGTATAAGAAAAGTTCGTTATAACCGGTGGTCGTTAAAAGCGTACTCCACTGTATAATACATTTTGGGGTTTACGGTGAATATTTCCAGGGTATAAAAAATTGGTTTAACAACTAAGTTTGTTGAATTCCATTCCTATAGATTTGGAACCACGAAAGGGTTAACCATTTATTATTATTGATGTCAATATATGGTGTAACCTATATCAAATTTTACATACAGTCTTATTCTGGATATTCGCTGGGAAATATCTCGCATGTACAAATTTTTCCGCTTTCACATTCTCGCCTTATTTTGAATGAATAATGGTGGTTAAAAAAGATTTGTGTTGCCATATTGGAATTTAAGTTGTAATGTGTGTGGCCATATTGTAATTTAAGTTGCAATTTGTGTTGCCCCATTGAAATTTAATTGTGTAATATTTTTCAATATTTTCTTTATTGATTTCTTTATTAAAAATATTCACTTTTTATTGTTATTTAAACTATATAACAATACAAATGAGAAATATCAATAATCCGCTGTATAAATGCTTTGTAATTAAAAGAAAATAAATTAAAGTTTAAAAATATGGCAACCTACAATATGGCATGTGAAACAGCTGTTCATTGTTTTGATGCAATTTGGTGCAACAACTACAATATAAGAAAATTTTTTATGATGGCAAAAACACAACGAATAATGGGAATCGGCGATTGAATTAATTAATTCACAGTTTAATATTTCACTACATAATTGTGTGCTTTTTTTTGTTCTTTCATAATTTTTATTTAAGTTTTTCACTGTTAAACAGCTCATCAGGCAAATTTGGTTTTTCCATAATTTTTAAAATTTTTTTCTTGAGAGACAGATTCTCACCCAAAATGTCTCTATTTCGCCTCCAAAATGCATCAATCTCGACTTAAATATTCCTTATTACCTGTATACATTCTAAATCGCCATAGAATAAGTATTGTGTAAATATTTTTCATAAAAATATTTATTACTTATGTTTTTGTAGTCAGCTCCCACAAAATTGCATCTCATTCTCCTACTACCTGTAATCCAGAATACCTAATTTGTCCCCAAAGCGATTTTTTTCGCTTTCGAACATTATTCAGAAGAAGGCGAAAGCGAGAATTCACAGGAAAATGTTATTCAAATAAGTCGAAGGGGAAGAGCGTGTAAATTCACGTGGAAATGACAGCCAGAATAAGTCTGTTAGACATTGATATAAGCGGCATCTAGTGGTGAATAGACAAACTAAAGTTCTTTCAAACTGTTTGTGGATATGCTAAGGCATCTTAAAATTGTTTCTCGTGTACTGTATAAGCTGAACTACTGTACCAACTCTGAAGAATTAAATTACTCTTTCAGTGCACTGATGTAACCCTTTGCGGCTCAATGTTCCACACAGACAAAAAAACTTACAGAGAGTATATTTAATACGCGACTAGTAAATATATATTTTTATATTCTCCGCCATTAGCAAATTTGAGATAGAGCTTTGAAATTTTGCACTGCATTGCTATTTCTCCTTGGATGGTTGGCATTGCAAATGGGTATATAATTATATATATATATATATATATATAAATCGGACTACGTTTTAGTATTGCTCCCATATAACGGTACCCCAAATATTTGGTATTACGGGGATTTTCTACTTTTCGTAATTTTCTACTACGGTTTTAGGGTAGCCACAATGTAACGGTACCACCTAAATTTAATACGAGTTACCATTGGGTAGAAAATGTCCTTATTAAAAAATATCAACATTGGCCCGTGGTTCCGGGTAGACCCCATAAAATAACAACCCCCCCCCCCCCCCCCCCATTATTCGGTATTATGGGATTTTGGCAAGTTTTGTTTGACCGAATTTGTTTTAATTTAATATATTTTGGGGTGTCAAATCTTCATACTAACCATTATTAATATTAAGTTTGGGTATAAGCTCACCTATAAGATCCGCACCTTTTTCCGTATTAATATATTTTTTACGGAGTTTTCTCATTGGAGTGGCTATAATTTGACATATTCCTGGATTCCTGCCGAATAAACAATAAATAAAAAAGTCGCGTTCAATTCTAGAGTATCTATAATTTGGAACACCATTTTTCGAAGCAAGAACAACCTACAAATGTCCCGAAATACTTAAGGAATTTTGAATCCACCCCATGTGGTGAATAATATAAAAATTTCAGCCCGGTAAAACATAAAGACATACTCCCATAAATGGGTATATAATTATTATATTTCCATAAAATGATCCCACATGATTAATTCCCTTAGCCTCACAAAAGTCCTGTCGAATATTCGGTATTTTGAGACTTTCAATACCACCAGGTTTCTCCCATACAAAGGTCCCGAACAATTTTGAGTTTTGTAACCGTATTTTCCAACCGAATTGGCGGAGGGTATAAAAAGTTCGACCGGACCGGCCTTAACCAATTTTTTACTTGTTATAATTTCAATTTAATGTTCGAACATTTAAAATTCGTTTTACTTTTTATGAATTTGTATTCATGAATTTGTCAAGTTCTGCTGCATATGCCATCAAATGTGGTATCGTATGTTGTTCCATAACTCCACGGAATAAATGTGCGTGGGGACCAGTAGCAAAAATTCCAACATCATCTCCGGCATGCGTTCCAATAGATGAAGGTATCTGGCTGGGATGTGTGAAGCCTAAAAATAAATAAAAACATGGAACGTTTTAACGGCAGGCATACTATATTCACATCGTAGCTTCAGTGCACAAATTGTTAAAGGTGCCTTCCTCCAGATTTTAAATATGTTTAGGATATTATAAAAAAAACATTTGATTTCAACAATACGGCGCCACACGATTTGTCAGTAAGATTGTGATTCAGATTTTGGAGCAAAACATCAAGAGTGTCATTCACCAGCTATCAGTTGAAATGAGTCTTGGAAAATTGGGATCAATAGATAACCAACCAGGTTGGAAATTTTGGCTTGACCTTGAAAAAATCCCAAAAAGACGCGTGACGTTTTAAAAATATCTCTGAAATCCTCAAATCTAATTGGATGTACCGTTGTATGGGATCTACCCTACAACTTGTACAGATTTTGATTTTTTTGGTGGGGAGAGTATCTACCCAATAGAAATTCAAAATATTAAATTACAACCAATTTTATTGAAAAGCACCCCCAATATGGGGCCTACCCTATAAAGTGAACCAATATTGATAAATTTTAATAGGAAGGTTTTATAACCTACGAGAACCCAATTCAGTTGAAAAAACTTGCAAAAAAATCCTTAACAAATTTAAAATTTTCAAAATTTGGGAACTTTGTGGGGCAGCAAAAGACCTAGTGAAATGATATTTTTCATCTTCGGTCTTGATCACTTTTCTTTTAATTATATTGTGGTGTAGGTATCAGGAGAGGAGGGCGATAAGCTTGAAAGGATTATCACGACATACTCCTTTAGTAAGCATGGGGACGGACGGACCAAAGCCACTTCAGGCTTAAAACCTATATTTCAATGACGCATATTTTTGAACGTATGAAATAAATCTAAAATACAAAAAAAAAATTAACCGGATCCTTATATAGATTATATGTCAAAACATGGTCGTATATTGAGCATTTTTTCAGATATGTTGTCACCTCGAAATAATAAATTACAGTTCCTTCTGTTGGAAAATGAGACTAAAACACTAAACACTACCAAAAATAGAACGCTACTTTTAAATGGGGAATATACCAAATACCTAAGATACTAAGAGTAGTACCAATGTCTACAAAGTTTAAAAAACAGACAGATGACTAAATCTAATTAAATAATATATCACGAAGATATATCCCTCCGAACATCAATATATATCCCTACATTACAGAATGCATACAAATGACTTACTTGCATCCTCTTTGATGATTCCTTCCAAATTGACACGTTGACCATTTTCATCCAAATACTGCTGGGGACCAACGGCATAAGTTAACGTTGTATATTTCACACCATTACTATCGACATCGTGTTGATTTAAACCCAAGATATCTGTACCACGTCCAGGATAACCAGCTATTGTCATGGGGTGACTATGATCCGAAGATACCACAATCAATGTTTCCTCCGGATTTGTCAACGACAATGCCACATCGATGGCCTTTTCGAATTCCAAAGTTTCGTCTAGAGCAACAAAGGGTTTATTAAAATGATTGGCATAATCGATTAGACCACCTTCAACGAATAGAAAATAACCCTTGTCATTGTAACGAAAAGATTTCAATGCGGCCTCTATCATTTCAGCTAATGTGGGTTCCTTGACCGGATTTGCCAGGGCATGGAAATTCATAAGTTTGGAGGCAAAGATGCCCATAATTTTTGTTACTTGTGTGATATTTATATTTAACAAATCGTCACGATTCGTGACTAAAGTCCCCTCTGGATGTAGTTCTTTCCAAAGTTGCAATAAATCCAGACCATCTAAACGTTCTCCTGGATTCCCATGGGCATCTTTCATTGTTCGAGGTAAGAATTTTCCCATGCCACCACCCATCATTATATCGAAGTTACTTCCAGGTTTTTGTTTAATTAACTGCTGAGCCATATCCATACAGTAACCTTGCCGATGGACATCTCGAGGAATATCTGCATCACATTCCCAAAAACGGCTAGCCACCTTGGCATATAAACCCGAAGGACTGGCATGTGTCAGGGAAGTGGTGGTAATAAAACCCGTGGACTTGCCAGCCCGTTGAGCCCAATCAGCAATTGATTCCACATGATTGGCAGGATCCATACTCATGGTGCAATTGTTAGGAGCCACATTTGCCGTTACACCAATGGAGGTAATGGATGTTTTTATACCACACAGGTAAGCTGTGGCTGTACACGCCGAATCGGGTACCTGGGAATTGGTACAGTAGGTCTGGAAATAGAAAAAAATAAGTGTTATTTATCGAGAATTTTTTTTTATTTGCCCTTGCTTACTTTTATCAATCCTGTATGGGGAAATTTCTGAAAGCTAAGTGATTCCTCTTCTCCCGGGTTACCCTTTAATTGACCCTTACGTATACGTGTAGCTGTCAGGGTATTCAATGCCATGCCATCACCAATAAAGAAAATTATATTTTTAGCTTTGTTGTAGTTGTAGAAACTTTCTTCAAATAATTTATTCACTTCCCGCTTGGCCGATGAATACCAATATTCCGGATCCTTTTCACGTTCAAGTGTGGGTTTATTTTTACCCATATCATTAAAAAAATCTGTATTGGATGTAATCCCACGACCAGCCAGCTTTTGTGTATGATGAAATTCAACATCTATAGATAATAGACCCGGAATAATTCCTATTGAAATACAGACTAGAAGTAGGTTATTCATCGTAGTGTCCATCAAAAACAACTGTTCTTTGTGAGTTCTCATTTTGGCAATTTATATGGAATTGTAAAAAAAACGTTGACAAAAATTAAAACGTAAGAATGGAATTTTAACTTTAAATTCTCAAGAGGCATTTCCCTTATCTTTTTTATAATTTATTTACATACCGATTCGAAATTGTATACTTTATTATGTCTCTATAATGGAATTACTGAAATCTCTTTTATAAGCTCCATTTTTATTGACAAATTTTAGATAACCAAACACATACGTAAGGTTCCTGACCTATTTTACCAAAGCTAAAGCCAATTTGAAGGAAAAAAAATTACAAACATTCCATGAAGGTCAATTGGAGTATATTTTATGTTTTTGATTGTTTAGTCAATCAATTATAAGACGTAAAGCCAACAACATCAGCCTTATGGCTAATGACGGTATATACACTTTGATACGGCAAAAATGTGCCTCACGCCATGTTTCTTTTAGACCAACTCCGTTTCAGACAATTTGGAGTTGATTGTCCTTCCGTATGTGGGTCTGGCTGGTGCGCACGATAACTCTCAAAGGGAGTAACCGATTTCATTTCAATTTTGTAATATCATGGAATATAATATCCGATTTGATCCAGACTTTGTAAATCGTAATACTTTTATCAAACCTAAATCATATCCGAAGATGAGACTCATTGATCCACTCCTTCAGGTAATTTAACATTCCGGGTTGTTTGTTAGTAAAAAAACTTCTCTGCATAATGTTTATACTCTTCGCCATAAGGTGAAGTGTATATTAAATTTGTCATTCCTCTTCACGGATAAGTGATGTTACGTGCCATCTACTTCGGCGCTATGGTTTTTTTGTGACAGCTAGCTCAGTAGCTACTTACAAGTGAATAATAGTGAAAACAAATTAGGAATTGAAACACACTTGCCCGCCAAAACTTAACCCTTAACCCTCGCACCTCTTCAAAATAACAAATACAATAACGATTAGACGATCATAATTGCACAAACAATCTTCAAAACAATTTATTAACTTATATTATTTCATAATAGTGAAAACAAATTAGGAATTGAAACAGTCAATCGCACAACAAATAACCACTTCACACTTACTTTGCATTTCTAACGACCACATCATAAATTAACAAGTGAAAAAGCGTTAAGTTCGGCCGGGCCGAACTTTGCATACACAATATCGTTAGAAGGCGAAATGCTTACAACAGATGGCTAAATAGTCTTTGTAGGGTAAAAATTGACTATTCCCCGTAACGACTACCCAACCGCAACACACGGAACAAATCAGATAACTATTTTAATATAAACCAGTAAGGAAAGTAGTAAAGTCGGACGGGGCCGACTATATGATACCCTTCACCAATATGTGTGATTTAAAAGATGCATCCTAACAGAAGGGCCATTAACATGAAAGTGGGTGAAGTAAAATGTGTGACTTTTATCTAAATGTGAATGGACATAGATCAATCCATAAACATGTCGTCCATTGTTACAATCGGACAAAATTATGTAAATCGATTTAAAGCCAATATCAATCGTGAACGAGTTCAATACTTGGAACACGAAGTCGGTTCGATATATATATATATATATATATATATATATAGGCTACAGCTGTACTTCCACACGCAACTACGTCATTCTATTCTGACAAAAGAAAACATGAAGAGTATGGTGCAACATATAAATAAAATCGGATGAAAATAGATATGGAAGCTATATCCAAATATGAACGGACTTCAACGATACTTGTTACAGTTTAGGTTAAACTAATTTATGCACGTTTTGTTCCTAATAGACATATTTTGGGTCCTACTTAAAATCGGACGACACCATATGGGGGATATATTTAAATATGGACGGATTCCAACAAAACGTGACACACGTTTGGCTAAACTGTCTCAACTACGCTGTGCAAAATTTTGTGTAAATCTGAACCAATTTTCAGGCAATTTTACACACATCATTCTAGACTCAATTCAGTACGATACGACAAATTTCGTGCCAATCGAAGGATATATATTGATTTTGGTGCACCATTTATATTAAATCGGTCGAACATATATATGGGACCTATGTCTAAATCTGAACCGATTTTCAACAAATTTTATACACATCATTCTAGACCTAATTCATCACGCTATGACAAATTTCGTGGAAATCGAATGATTTATAGGGGCTTTGGTGAACCATTTACATTAAATCGGACGAAACTATATATGGGACCTATATCTAAATCTGAACCGATTTTCACGAAACTTAGCACACTTCATTCTAGATTTAATTTAGTACGCTATGCAAAATTTCGTGCAAATCGAAGGATATATAGGGACTTTGGTACACCATCTATATTAAATCGGTCGAACATATATATGGGGCCAATGTCTGAACCGATTTTCAAGAAATTTTACACACATCATTCTAGCCCTAATTCATCACGATATGCCAAATGTCGTGGAAATCCAATGATATATAGGGACTTTGTTGAACCATTAACATTAAATCAGGCGAAACTATATATCGAATGATTTTCAGGGACTTTGTTGCACCATTTACCTAAAATCGGGCGAAACTATATATGGGAGTTATATCTAAATCTGAACCGATTTTCCAAATTTCAATAGGGTTCGTCCTTGGTACGAATAAGTGACCTATGCCAAATTTCATCCAGTTCGGACCATAAATGCGACCTGTACATGGTTTACAATTTAACATGGACGGACAGACGGACATGCATAAATCGACTCAGAAAGTGATTCTATGCATATTCTCAAAAGGAACCATGGGTCTATCTCGATTCCTTTTACCTGTTACAAACATATGCACAAAGACATAATACCTTGTAGCACAGTGTGGTGAAGGGTATAAAAATGGGGTTATATGGGGACTATCCCTAAAAAGGGGTGAATATTAATAATTTTTGGTGGGAAGATTTGCTACCATATACGACTACAAAATACCAAATGTCAGAGAATTCGGTTGAAAAACGCGCCCAAGAACCTCAAAATATCGAAAATTGGGGGTACGCTTATATGGGGGCTACCCGAAAAAATTGATCTATTTTTATAAATTTTTTGTGAAGAAATTTGCTACCCAATAAGAACTCAAATTACTAAATTCCAGCCAATTCGGTGAAAAATCCGGTCAAAACCCCCCAAAAACTGGAAATTGGGAGGTACCCTTATATGGGGGCTACCAGAAAAAGTGGACCTATATTCATGGGGGCTACCCGAAAAAAAATACCTATATTTCTATAGTATAGAGATTTGCTACCCAATAAGAACTCAAAGTACCGAATTTTAGAATTCGGTCGAAAATGCGATCAAATACCCCAAAATACCGCAAAATTAGGGGCACCCTTATATGGGGGCTATCCGAAAATATGGACGCATATTTATAATTTTTAGTGGAGAGATTTTCTACCCTATAAGAAATCAATGTACCAAATTTCTGCGAATTTAGTTGAAAACGCGCTCTGGGAGATATGCCTAAACGGGGGCCGATAAAGCCCATCTTCGAACTTGACCTGCCTGCAGACAAAAGACGACATGGAAGCTGCAGATAGAAGGGGTGAGGCTATGGAGTCGTATCCCCTAGAAGATGAACCAGACAGAGAGATGTATAGCCTACATACATTAGAGGATCTGGAATCCGCATTAAGTATGTGAAAGACTTGGTGAAGAACGCACAATGGAAAGTAAAAAAACGCTGAAGCCATTGGTATACGATGGGGACAAGTTGTGCTGAAGAAAATAGAAATAGCAACCGCCATTAGGCAAACACGTTGATGAGCAAAAGAATTACAAAAATACTGGCGTGAAAAAGGATTAAAGGGGAGCGAAAGCAACGATGGTGAAGCAGGAAAGTACTTCGACTGTACTGCTCGCTACGGCACAAGTAAATGTGCGCTCGATGACCGGAGAGGATGTCACGATGAGGACAATTATCGACCAAGGATCTCAAATTACATCAATATCAAAGGAAACAGCTTAAATTTTTGGAGGAATTAAAAACAATAAAATAATTCATGGACTGGGCAGAACACCAGTTGGAGTATCCAAACACAAGATTAAAATAGAGGTAAAACCTCGATTTCTAAGCAAGAAAATCTTCCGCACAGAGGCGTTCGTATTGCCAGTAGTGATGAGTTCTGAACCAAAGGAATCATTCGAAGCCATTGTAGAAGAATGAAACAACTGTATATTGGCCACTCCGACCGAGTGGACTTGATCATAGATGGCGATCTGTATTCCGAGCTAGTGGAAGAAGGCCACAGAAAAGATAATAGTCCTTTTGTCCAAGAAACTAAAATGGGTTGTATATTGTCTGGCAAGATGCAGCTGAAAAATAAATCCCTGAAATATCAATTTGCCGTGACTAATTTCGATAGATTTTGGAAGCTCGGAGAGATAGAAACGCTATCAAGTCCGTCGGTGACTGGTGTATGCAGAGGTATGACGAATCGACAGTAATAGAAGATGATAGAAGAATAGTGGCATCATCGGTGATTCTAAAAGTCTAGCAACAGCAAAGCTCCTATCCACAGAAAAGAAGCTACGTCGCAGCCTGAATCTACGGGACCGAATACATCCGTATGTGATAACAGCGGACGTGGAAAAATGTATTGCCAGATAAAATGGCGTCCAACTGAGTATCATATATTTAGACGGATATGGTGAGCCTATTCAGAAGTATAAGAACCGACAGCACCATACTTAGTGTCGCACAATCACCCGAATTTTCCGAAATTTGGTATTTTGGTTTCTCATCTTCCCACTAAAAATTATTCATATTAGTCATTCTTCAACCAAATAAGCTATAATTAAGTATTTTGAGTTCTAACTCGGTAGCAAATCGTCGTAGCCAGTATTTGATATTTTGGGGAGTTTTATATTCGAATTGGTTTTAATTTGGTTTCAAATCTTCCTACCAAAAATTTGCCAGGGGATAATCCGCCATATATATATATATATATAGAGGCCCGAATGACAAAAGATATTTAAATGTATATCTCATGGTAGATGGTATAAAAAGTTCGACCCGGTACTCATCCAATGTAACGGAACCGCCCCATTTTGAGCATTTTGAATGTTTGAACCGCATTTTCAAACCGAAGTTGAACACCACGTTATTAGAGGTGAAAATCATATTTACAGTAAATTATCAACAGAAGTCCATGTATCCAAATATAAGTCCCCCATTTTAATAATTTTGATGGTCTTAAACACGTTTTTTCAATGAAGTGATTTTGAATAAGGTATAAAAAGTTCAGCCCGCTCGAACTTTACGCCGTCTTTTAACATTGCTTATTTCTTGTAGACAGCATTCTAAATTAAATAAAATACAAATTGTCATAAAACAAAGCGGATGGCGCGATAAATCCATAACATCTGCTTTATTGTCGAATTTTATGATAGCCAAAAAATTGTAAATACAATAAAAAATAAATATGAAATCATGTAAATAAAAGTATATAATTACCCCATATCCCATTCTCTATTCTCAGTAATTTTTGAGTTACTTCCCAAGATGCAAGCATTGTTAATATGCATTTCATTATTGGCCTTAACAGCTGGAAGGCATATTCAAGATATTCATTCAGGTCCCAAGAGTACAAATGCAGAAAATTTACGAAATTCCAACATTGGAGATATTCTAACCGCTGGCAAAGTATCACCACCACATGAACAGAATAAGGAATATTGGTATAATGTGGCCCGGGAGCAATTACAGCAACGTATCCGAACCAATTTGAATACCAATGAAGCCAAAAATGTGATATTCTTTTTGGGTGATGGTATGTCGTTGACCACAGTGACTAGTGCACGGATATTGAAGGGTCAATTGCAGGGTAGACCAGGCGAGGAGGAACAACTGAGTTTTGAGAATTTTCCCTATGTGGGATTAAGTAAGGTAGGTAGCCATGAAGTGATAATGAGGATTTAAAAAATACTGATTTTTATTATTTGCTCACAGACATATTGTGCCAATGCTCAAGTACCCGATTCCGCCTGCACCTCCACAGCCTATATGTGTGGCGTTAAGGCTAATATTGTCACCCTGGGTGTAAGTGCTCGAGTCAACTACAACAATTGCACTGAAAGTATGAATCCTGAAAATCATGTATCCTCCATTGTTGATTGGGCCCAAAAGGCTGGCAAATCAACGGGATTCATTACCACAACCACTCTAACTCATGCCAGTCCCTCGGGCAGTTACGCTCATGTGGCAAATCGTTTTTGGGAGTGTGATAGTGATGTAACCAAATGGACTGGTATCACTGATTCTAGCCAGTGTAAGGACATTGCCCAACAGCTAATCACACAAGAACCAGGCAAACATTTCAACGTTTTAATGGGTGGTGGTATGGGTAAATTTTTACCCAAACACATAAAGGATTTTCATGGAAAGATGGGCGAGCGGTCGGATAACAAAAATTTACTCTCCACCTGGCAAGCTTTGCATCCCAAGGGTGTGGTGGTAACTGATAGACAAAGTTTATTAAACCTTGACATAAATAAGCTGGAGCATATTATGGGCCTATTCCAACCCGGTGTAATGGATTTCCATGCCAAAGCCAATCACAAGAAACAACCAAGTTTCGCAGAAATGACCGAAGTAGCCATAAAGTTGTTGAGTAAAAATCCCAAGGGATATTTCATTTTCATCGAAGGGGGTCTCATTGATTATGGCAATCATATGACGAATCCAGGTCTAAGTACTTCGGAAACTTTGGAATTCGATAAGGCTGTACAGAAAGCCCGAGCTATGACCAATCTAAATGATACTCTAATTGTGGTTAGTTCCGATCATGCCCATCCATTAAGTATGGGCGGTTTTGCGAATCGCGGCAATGATATTTTGGGCATAGACTATTCTTTTCCAGATGCCAACGGTCAATACTTTGCCACGCTCAATTATGCCTTGGGGCCCAATCAATATCTAGATGACAAAGGAAAACGTTTGGATTTATCACAGTTCTTGGATAACAATCATTGGGCCGTTCATCCAAGTTATATCAAATCGGAACTGGGTGTTCATGGTGGTGATGATGTGGGTGTGTATGCCTCTGGACCTTATGAGCATTTATTCCGCGGTGTTATTGAACAACATACATTGCCACATCTAATGGCGTGTGCAGCGGGTATAGGTAATGGTCGAACAGCTTGCAGTGGTAGGAAGAATTTGTAAAATGATCACAAATAAAGATAATATTATTTAAAGGACTTATTATTTATACTCAGAGTCAGTTTTACATTCAACCGAACTTTTACCATCCACCAAGAGGATGACAACCAAAAGATCTAAAATTGATGGGGGCTCCTTGGGGAAAACTCATGTTATGATAGGGCCTTGAACAAACTTTTTTCGTATTTTTAATGCTGAGATGTGGTACCGTTATGAGAACCCAAAATACCAAATTACATCCAATTTGATTGAAAAAAGTGTCAAAACTCCCTATATTGAGGGGTACCATATTTTGGGGCTACTCTTAAACGTGGGTCACTATAAAATATTGTTAGTAAGGAAATGTGCTATACAATGAGAAAACAAAACACAGAATTACCGCCGAGTTGGTTGGAAAACGTGTCCAAAATCTCCAGGATACCAAATTACAGCCAATTAGGTTGAAAAAGTGTTAAAAATCCTTAGAATATCGAATATTGGGGGGTAAAGTTATATGGGGGCTACACCAAAGCGTGAACTAATTTCAAAATTGTTTGCCAAAAGAGTAGTGGGTTGCCGGGGACTTATGACATTCAGCTATGAACAGAAATGTCGTTAAATTCGGCTGTGCCGAACTTTTTCTTCAGATCCATACATCAGCACGGGTAGTATCAGCGTCTTGTAGAGTCTATCCATAGTAGCATCTATTGGCCAACACTATCCTTCTCCAAATTTCAAAACTGATGTCATTAGTTTTATTTATGACTGCACCAAAGTATATAAAATCGTTGACTACTTCGAAGCTGTAGTTCTCAAGTTCCATAGTTGGTCCTAGTCTACTGAACGACTTGCGCGTGAATACCTTGGTCTTCTCGCCATTTACTGACAGTCCCACTTTGGCAGACTCCTTCTCAATTCGTTCAAAGGTGGCTGTTACAACTCGTAATGTTTGACCCATTACGTCGATGTCATCATATGCTAGATATTACTTTATATGTGATGGGAAGGAGACTAATTCCTCAATAGTTGGCACATATCGTCTTGTGTCCTTTTTTTGTGCAAGGTACACAGGATGCTGAGGTTCCAATAATTGGCCATGCATTCATCTAGCCAAATTGTATATGTTCCTGATCTGCATCTGACCACCGGTCTTGAATTGAGCGGCTGGTAACCAAACGACACCTGCTGGTTTATTATTCTTCAGCCCATTAATTGCAATTCTGACCTCCTCTTGGCTAGGTGGTGTACAATCTACACCGTCATCTCGTATTGGTTCTGGGGTATTTTCTATCTATCTTTATCTGTCCCAGGTTTCCTTCTTCATCTCTACTTTACTCCCCATAAAATAACATATCGAAATTGGGGCGGACCTATATCAAACATGGACTATAAGTGTACGACATGGTTCTAACGTAAGTACATTGTGGGTAAACGAATAAGGGGATATATAGATGTTTGTTTTGGTGTAACCCCTACGCCCAGTGGTGTTTCTGACGTTACTGATTTCTTTGTAATATTCTCTCCACCTCTGAGTTTGTTCATAATTGTTTGTTAGTAGCCTAACCTTACAATCTTTAATTGCTTGGCTCCTGGTATACCTTCTATTTGTGAGACGATATAGCTTTCTCATATTATTCCTGTTTCCTAGCCCGTTTTTTCTAGATTTTCTAGGAACTTTCTATTATCTTTCCTTGCAGCTTTCTTCACTTGTTTTGTTAGTAGATTCATCTGTTGAATATACCCAAAGTGGTGAAGTGTATCATATAGTCGGCCCCTCCGACTTTACTACTTTCCTTACTGGTTTTTTTTTAAGCAAATACATGCCTAGAATCTTTGATATTTATAATAGGATATATCGATCCACATTCTAGTATTTTGGAAATTATATATTGGCATATCGCATATATAAACCAGTGAGCGGAGCAGTATAGTCGGACGGGGCCGACCATACGATACCCTACACAACTACCACGAAACTCAAATTTTCTGCGGATGTTTATTCCGAGACTGGGCAATATTTCGTGATATTTGTACCCTCTTGCCCGATTAGAGGTAAACAGCACCTCTTCCAGAGTGGTAATGTTTTACTAAATTATATACGAATACGGAGATACCTGTAAATATTTAGGCGTAACTCCCACATCCGAGCACATACAACAATATAATTGGTCTTAATTTAAAGGTCAACCAATCCTCTTGGATATAATATCCACTTCTCGGGTATATGTCTTTCAGGGGTAAATATATACGCCATAGAATACACATTTTCTCATTTTTCACACAAAAGTCAGGGTCCATTTGACCCGCTAAATATTGACCGATCTTTCTCCAAACAGGCATGGTTATTCTGTGGCCCGACCCGCTTCTCCATGCAAAATTTCACGATGTTCGGACCATTGTTGCGGCCTCTGGAGCGACCAGAAAAACCGACAAAAATTTAGTATTTGGTCCATTTCATCCCCTAAATCTTTCCCAAAAACAATAGGGGTCTTCATTGGCCAGAACCCATCCTACATGCAAAATTTCGTGAAGATTGGTCCATAACTGTGGCCTGTATCGTGTTTACAATTTATAATGGACAGACGGAGGGACGGACACACATGTCTAGATCGACTCAGCTAGTCGAGATATGATATGATCGGTATACTTAAAGGTGGGTCTAGGACCAATATTTCGCGGCGTTACAAACTTTTGGGGCTGCACAAAGCTATAATACCCTGACAACATAGTTGTGTAGGGTATAAATACCCGATAGATTTTAGGTATTTTGAAGGTGATTCTCTTGTTTTAATTTGATGCTCCTCGTTTCAGATTTTTTATAAAAATACATGAATTAAAAAACCAGTGAGCGGAGCAGTATAGTCGGACGGGGCCGACCATACGATACCCTACACAACTTCCATGATAATCTAACTTTCTGTGGTTCTATATTCTGAGATTGGGCAATATTTCGCGATATTTGCACACTGTTGACTGGCTAGAGGTCAACAAATGTTACTAATAATCAGTACAGCCCCTCTTAATATTTGTCCAGGTTCTCTTTACCGTGGGTTATGTTGTGATGTTCGGCTTTCGACTCGAAAAGTACAAATAATTAAGTTTTCGGTCCACTTCATCCGAAAAATTATTATCTGATCATCACCTAACATTTGTCCTTGACCATCACTGGAACCTCATGGCACATTTCAAAGCGATCAGCGTTATATATCCGCCCTCCAGTGTGGTAATAGGTTACTAAATAATATATGAATACGTAAGCACCTGTAAATATTTAAGTGTAACTCCCGCATCCGAGTACCTACGACAATAAAATTGGTATCAATTTAAAGGTCAACCACTCCTCTTGGATATACTATCAACTTCTCGGGTCTATGCCCTTCGGTGGTAAATATATACGCCATAGAATACAAATTTTGTCATTTTTCACACAAAAGTTAGGGTCCATTTGACCCGCTAAATATTGACCGATCTTTATCAAAACAGGCATGCTTATTCCTTGGCCCGATCCCCTTCTCCATGCAAAAATTCGAGATGTTTGGGTCATAATTGCGGCCTCTGGAGCGACCAGAAAAACCGACAAAAATAAAGTTTTTGGTCCATTTCATCCCCTAAACATTAACCGATCTTTTCCAAAAACAATAGGGGTCTTCATTGGCCAGAACCCATCCTACATGCAAAATTTCGTGAAGATTGGTCCATAACTGTGGCCTGAATCGTGTTTACAAATTATAATGGACAGACGGACGGACGGACGGACACACATGTCTAGATCGACTCAGCTAGTCGAGATATGACGATCGGTATACTTAAAGGTGGGTCTAGGACCAATATTTCGCGGCGTTACAAACTTTTGGGACTGCACAAAGCTATAATACCCTGACAACATAGTTGTGTAGGGTATAAAAATATGTCCGTCAATCTTAATCCTCAATGTTGAGTACATTTTAGAGTTCATATCATTTTTGGTAACGGTTTATTTTTTCTTGTAATTTCAAGATTCAAAATAATGAATATCGATTTCATAACATCAAAACACCTGACAAATTACTTGCATTAACATAACACACTGTTGTCACTTCTTTGAAGAAAGCGATTAAAATTATTGACCTTTGTTTCTACACACGTCGGCAGTTAATTTTTAATTACGACTTTCGATATTTGGCATATGAACATCTACAGAACTTCCAACATACGGGCTAAACTGACCATAATCACATTTAATTTTATGGTATTCTCGATAGATATTGAGTTTTTTTATAAAATGTTAAATAATAGAAAATTCCCATCGATTTTAAATAGTCGATTAATAGACGATTTTACTTGCTGTAATCCAGATTTTTATAATTTGCGAAATGGTGTAATTGTAACTTATGGCCCTTAGTGCAATGTTACGAAATCATTAAAACAAGTTTATACGCCAAACAAAAGCAAAAACAAACATGAGAACTTTGATAAATGCCGAATTTTTAACACTTCACAAATTTAGTCGGATTTAAACACTTCAAAGCTTCGGTCACTTCCGTGCCATGTATAAAATTTTAGCAAGTTTCATAATAATTGTTCTGATAATTTGGATATTATTGCACACGGCTGGTAATGGAACACACACAATTGATACGAAATCAATGGTTAAAAATCCACGAATGATTTTCCACGAAAATCGTTTTACTCCAAATGAAGAAAGACAACCAGAATTTTGGCATGCAATGGCCCAAAAGGAATTGTTGAAAAATATACAAAAGACACGACTGAATAGAAATAAAGCGAAAAATGTTATCCTCTTTATGGGTGATGGTATGTCTGTGAGTACCATAACGGCTGCCAGAATTTTGAAAGGTCAACGAAAAAATCACACAGGTGAGGAGGAGGCATTGAGTTTTGAAAGTTTCCCCTATGTGGCTTTAAGTAAGGTAGGTAAATATACCCTAACTTATTGACTTTCTGTGAGCTAAATTATAATTAAATCTCTTCCACTGTTCGCAGACATATTGTGCAAATTCCCAGGTAGCCGACTCAGCTTGTAC